TCAGCCTCACCCGGGGAAAAGCTGTAGCCCTCCTACAAGGGGAAAAGAAGGGGAAACAAGCCAGATTCCCTCTTTTATGAATAAAGGTGCCATTTCGTATACAGGCATCTTTGATGCTTGCACTCTGATCCCAGCAGAAAATCACGTCTATTCTAACTGTCCTAGCGCACTCTAGCGGGAGCCCTCTCCCTCCACATCTCCACAGCATCCCTGCACAGCTGCTAGCCCAGCAGAAGCCTTCTCACCCAAGAACAAAAGTTAATCCAACACAGGCATCTGAAGAGCTGTGGGTGGAGGGAGAGGACAATAAAACCAGCTCCACTGGGAAAGGGTCAGTAATTTAAATGGTCAAATTAAGAGAAAAGGTAAAACAGCCTGGTATTATTTGAGGATAATGTAGTTTCCCTGCAACTACAGCCAAAAAGCCATTTCCCCCCTTTTCTTTTTAATGGAAAGTCTTCCTTTCATATGAACAGTTTGAGGAGGCATGTAAAGAAACTCAGAAGTGGATGAGGCTTTTTTTCTTTTTTTACTGCAAAAATCATGTTTGCAATTACAGAGACACCTGCTCCTTGGAGGAGCATCAGGTCTTCCTCCCATATCTATACCTCCTACATAAATAGCATACCAGCATCACCACCTCCATCTTGTTCAGCTGAGGCTGCTCTGAGGGGTCCCAGCCCAGGAAAGGAGCCATGGTTTGCTGCACTCCATCTGGGGAGCCTTTCCCATGTCAGGGCTTGCTCCAGAAGGGGTCCTGCCACATGACCTTCCTACGAGACACTGCTTTGCTCCTTTCCTTACACATCAGAGGCTGCTTCCTCACCCACCGAGTTGAGGTCTCATGCTCTCAGATTCATCGTCTCACTGCACTGCAGTGGTTTCAGACAGTGGGGTAGGCACCATTGTGCCAGCAGGAGAAACTATTTCTTACCTTTTTATTACTATTATTCTTTCCATGCTTGGATAGGAACAAGCCTCTGTGAGGAAAGGAACGGGAACATTCAGAAAATAAATTGTTGTTCGGTTTATGCACCTTTGGGTCTCATTCATAATCCACAGCATTACGAGAATAACTCAAGCCGAAATCTGTAATATTTATTCTATTACAAGGAAATTGTTTCTTTTGCAGGAAAAGCATTAGAAAATGCTAGCAAAGGTCTGGGAAAACCGGACCACTTATGTTGGTACTTGAACTGGGGATGTCACCTTCAAAACCCAGGTCAAATTGTACATGCAAAGCTCATTGGCGTCTCTGAATAACCACCTCAGCAGTCAACAGGCTAGTCATCCTCTCTGCAGCTTCGTGGGACTCTGATTATGGATTTACGAGGACAGTCAACAGACAGTACTGCAGCCCCAGGTTAAGTGATTTAAATGGGACCTCCAAGGAAAACAGTAAAACAAAAGCTGCTTCGAGCTGATAAGGATTGAAAAGGAAACTCAAAATGCATTAGAGCTCTTGAGTCTCTCTAGTTTTTGTGGTGTATTCTCGTCTAGCCTTTTCATCAGCTCAGCCGCTGGAAGTTACCCCAGAGATTTTGTAACTGGTGGCAAGTGGCCTGGGCTGTGTGCCGCAGCTTTCAAACGAGGTTCAACCCGGCAACGCTTAGCAGCTCTTTTTCTCCTAGAATACGCTAAAAAGACCTCACTCTGCAGTTCTCATGAATCCTTAAAGTGAAAAGACAGATAAACCAAAAGACTGGATACAGCACTAACTATTGAGAAACAATCCGTACCACATTCCACTCCAAACTCCACTGTTGCGTAATATTTGAGACAGGTCATTTTGAGCCTTGCCTGAGCAAGCCCTTTCATGAGTACTCAACTTTGCTGTAAGTAATCCTGTAACACTTTGTGTAAGGCTATATGCAAGTGCTCGCGAGACTGAGGTCTCGAATCACAAGATGACTGGAAAAAACGACGTCCAATGCCTGGTAAACAGGGCCCTGAGGGAAGATACCAGATACCAGGGTAATGCTGAAAATAAAAGTGGCCTTTGTGAAGGTAACATCTTCCTCACTTATACTTCCTCACTTCCCATTTAAGTAAGTGTCAGTAAAGAAAACAGTAGTCTGGGGAGAAGGGAGCTCTATGTATCTGTCTTGCATCATGCTGAGACAGTGCAACCTCTGCTTGACAGCAGCTCCAAAAGAGCTTAAAAGAAGCAAGGTTGGTTGTATGTGAAGAGGGTGTGGAGAGGTATACGGATGAAAGGAGGGCCTGACGAAAGAAAATAAACTCCATATGATGAAGAATTTCAAAGCTGAAGAGCCTTTCTTTTTTCTGTATTCCCACAATATCATGCTTCCCCAAAGCAGTCTCATGGCAGCAAGACACATGCACTGGGATAAGGGTAATCTGTATCAGACCACTGTTGTAACATTCACCATGGGTCACACCTGGTTTCTTGAGCCAGGGTTGCCCCAAATCAGACTGACCGGGGACTTGCACTTGGATTTTTTTTATATTTCTGGTAGGTGTTCCCTAGTCCATTGCCAGGCTCAGCCCACCCTTCTGCTGGCCCCCAAGCAGCTGCAGGATCAACAGGAGAAAGCTAGCTTGTCAGCCTCCTACCCTAACAAATTGACGCATGGCTAAATTAACCTCTTTTCTCTACGCTCTTCTTTGTGTGCCTCATGGGAAAAAAAAAAAACAACAGAGAACAGACTTAGAGTAAAAATTCACAGCCAAGCTAAAAGCATAGCTAATACTCCCTGCAGCCTCAAGAGAAGGGAATCTGGCCTATCATCTTGACAGCAGCAAAAACAAAAACACTATAGCTTTTGTTTATCTATTCATCTTCATCCTCTTTTTACTTCTGTTTATTAACGCAGTGGAGTGCATTGCTAACTAAGCCCCGTTTTTCTTTGCTTGGATGTAGTCCCTACTATGATTTAGAAATAATCTTAATTTGGTATTTGTAATTCCAGTATTTACCTCTCCCCACGATGTCCAATATGATGTTACTGCATTCTTGGCTCAAGAGCTTCTGTAATGGCTTAAAACACCAGACCTCGTTCGCCTTGAATAAATGAGGGGACAGGAGCAGGAGGACAGGCTATTTCAACATCCTCTAAACATGGCCTCATCACAAAAATTAGTTAAGTTCTATAAAGCAAAATTAAACCCTTGGGGAAGCAGACTGTTTACCATCCCCTAACCAGGACATACCTGTCACATCCAAATGCATGCACCCAACTAAAACACAGCCAGAGTGCCTCTTCTCAGACGTCAATTCAAGCGGAGACTCGGGGTGAACCCAAACCGCCCTCCTGCACATGCAAGCCCCCGCGCAAACAGAAACCTCACCTCACATGCCAAGGGACAACAAACTGCTGGACAAGCAAAGAAAGCAAATGCCACTATTTACGCTGATAATAGCCCTCTGACTATTTGTCTGAGAGCAGTATCAGCTCTGTCCTCTTGTGCATAGTCTGGCGTAGCCACCTGCTCGCACACAGTCTCTGCAACATCACAAAACACCCTGCTTCTCAAACAACATACGCTGTGTTCCTTAGTTTCTCAGACACTGTACTAGAATATGAAATGGCTCCCCAACACTGGATAAAGATGCAGGGCTCTGTCGAATTTTTCATTTTCACATACATTAATCATCCCAAAAGCCCACCTCGGCTGTACAGATCTGTACTCTTTGTTCAACTTTTATTCTCTCAAAGGTATGCATTTTCATAATGATGGTGCTCATGTACCACTTAACAGTATATTTTCATTTGGCCTCAGCTGCACTTCTGAACATTGATTTATTACTGCTTGTCACTAGCTGCTACTAAGAGTAATACATACACTGAGTTTATTTAGTGTATTTAGTATTTCTTGCTTGACTCTTTCTTACACAGACAATATTGCCCAAGTCCAGAGATTCACAAATCAAAACAGGCAAGTGTCTGGGCCTCCCAGATGCACTTGCTTTGCACCTTTCAGCTTTCTGTCTGTAAGATCCAGAAACATTAATCTAGTTGTTCTTTTATAATGCAAATGGAGAGTCTAATGCAGCCTGCCCGCTCCAGCATCTGTAAGCGTACAGTGTGCACCTAGGTGGGCAATGAAAACACAAGAGCAGCATGTGCTCGCACAAGAGTGGCGTGAGCAACGTCTCAGAGGCAAGCCCAGGCTGGATGCCCAGCGTGGGAGCATGCCTTTATGCCTGTTGCTCATCCACACAGCTAAGCCCTGGACTATGCCTATTCCGCATACAGCCCTGAAACCCTGCGTGGCCCTTAGAGTCCACTGACAGACCAAAGACAGCACTGTTAGCTCTCCCTCCAGCCACTCCATCCTCTGCTCCTTGCACAGGGGCTTGCTTTTTCTCTTGCTTCTATTGGATAAGCCTAAATTCAGCTATAACCAAGGCACGTTGCAATTCCCAGGCTGTGTCCATTATCATGGGAGAAGGAGGCATTTCCCAACTCCCAGTGCTGCACACAGGCTACAGCTCAGTCTTGGCTCCACACCGAGGACCTGGATATGTTGGCACATGCCAATGCTGCACCCTGTCAGACCTTTCTTTCATTCCATGTAGCAATGAGTTTGCATAGTCCTGCTTGTTTCACCAACCTCTCCATGCTCCTGGCCCTAGATACAGGCAGCTCTTATTACTTAAGGATCTGATCCAAAACCCGTGTGCCAGAGCTCCCCCTCAGGAGGTCAGGCGCACCAGGGATGTGCAGGTTACACAAACGCAACCAGTTTGGCCTAGCTGCTGCCAGCTCGCTGGGCCCCATGTTTGCAGACGCAGGCACACTCGAGGCACAGATCTCAGCTTGTGGGGACACTCCTGCCTCTCAGCTAGGATACACCACAGGAGAAACACCTGTGTCCTACTTCTACTCCAAGAGAAAGATAAAACGGGTGGTTTACATGATCTGTGTTTTAACCTTGCCTCTCTGTGACTCTGGGAAGAGAAGAGCAGTAAAGCAGCATTTATTCGGTAGGGAACCCATCGCTGCTGAGCGGCAGGGACCAAGAGCAGGTCTTACCTGCTAGGTGTCTCGTGTCTCAGCACGGTTCGCCATGGCGCTACATCTCAGAGGCCTCCCAGAGGAGCTGGTTCTCCTTTGATATCCTTCCAAGGAAGGGCTTTCCAGTGCATTTGAAAAGCGGCCAGAGGAAAGGCAAATTGAAACGGTTTGAACAGTCTACCACCATCTACAACAAATCAAGCCCAGACATGAGCACAGGCCTAACAGTGGAAACATCTCTGCAGAGACACCAGGCACTTCCATTATGCACAGCATCCCAGGCTGCTTTCTTCTGGATAGGGGAAAATTGACTCTAATCTGAAAGCTATGTATTTATGCACCAAAAATGTGGGTTTTTTTCCTCCATTCACAGTCAAGCAAGGCTTTGTGCCTCTCTCCCAGTCTCTCCACAGCAAAATGTTTGTCATTTTGCTGGGCAATGCTACCCTCTGGTAGCCTGGTACCCTACCGTGCACCAGTGAAGTGGCAGGACAACTGTGGGGAGGCTTTGTGCATCTCCAAGCCACGTGCTGTGCTGTAATAAATACTATCACAGCTATCCACTCGCAGCACATATTTGGGAACGCTTCCATTCCTCGTCTGAAAGAGTACATTCACAAAATGATGCAACGGAGGCCAATGCCTGTGTACCTCAGGTGGCGTGCAAACGTTGGCAGGGTGATGGTCAGGGGTTGTGTCGTAAATTAACTGCGTATCTCTCTAGCTGGCAGCAAATGGCACAGGTTGCTATTGTCCCACTGCTGTGCTTTATCACTGTTTGAGATGCAAAGGGGCACCACAGAGGTTTTAGCCGGTGATGTTAAAAACAAAGTGTTCTGCCAGTCCTTCCTGTCATCCGCAAGCTAGAGTGATAAAAAGAAAAATGCATTTGCAAGGAGTTCCGGGAAATTTGGAGGCCTGAAGGGGACAAAAGCTCTCCCTGTTAATTCCCCTTACAGGGGGGGGGGGGGGGGGGGAAGAAGAGCATCATTTAACTATTTACCAGCTTAATTTTTTACCTCAGACTTGGTAAACAAGTGCTTTGTCTTTGCCCCCTGTTCTCCAGTAGATTGCAGGCTCCGTGAGAGGGCTTTGCGCAGATGAAATTGCAGTGACTATTTCTATGAAGAAAAAATAAATAAAATAAAATTAATCGCCCTTACTGCACCATCTTTCACCGCAATGAGCTATCGCCTCACTCACATCCCATTTTTCACCTGTGTAGCCGGCTGGGTTTCCCCGTCAGTAAAGAGGCCCCCAAAAAAACCTGCATCCTGGCCTGAAGTTGCAAAACGTGCTTGGTCTGCCTGCTCCCTTACCGTGGCCGCAGGGCCCCGGCCCCGCGGGCGGAGGCGGCCGCCGCCTCCC